GCCGAACGGGGAGGGGTGCGCACATCGCAGCTTCTCCTTCCGGCACAGCTGCACCTGTTCTTCGTCCATGGTGACGTCGATGGGCTGGAAGTAGGCCATGATGGTCAGGAAGTCCTCGAAGTTGATCTCGTCGGCCAGCCCGCTGGGCCCCTTGCGCAGATTCCTGCGGGAGCAGCCAGGGCGTGTTGGAAATGAATTAAAAACCACCAACAGCTCGGAGGAACCGGCCCTCTGGGACACCCCCATCAGTGCCCCCAACCCCCGCTGCTCCCAGGCTGAAGTCAGCACCCCTCTGGTCAGGGGCAGCGTGACAATGCCCTGCTCTTCCCACACCGCTAGCTCACCGTGCTCGGCCTCCCTGCGCTCCAGCCAGGCCTCCTCTCTGCCACTCATACAACTGTCCCTGTGCCACTGGGCCTTTGCACATGCAGCTCTCCTGGAGCATCTCCTCTCCCCTCTTTGCCTGGTGAACTCTGGGTCACTCTCTCCTCAGGTCTTGCCCCACAGGCCCTGGAGGAAGGCCTCTGCATCTTCTGGGGCAGCCTGAGTACTCCCCGCTCCCCCGCCCCATGAACGGGTGAGGCTCAGAGAGGCCCAGCAACTTGCTCCGGCCCCGCAGCCCTGGCACAACCAGAGCTGAGCAGTTCAGGCTGGCATAACCTGAAATGGGTTAGGGAAGTCCTCGCCCATCTTATGGCCCGTTCCCTTCCTTCCTCTTTCTGCTGGTTCTTCCTGTGTCAGCGATCTCTGCAGATATAGGGTGTCAGGCCTGGGGAGAGCGAACCCACCCCCACCGCCCAAGGCAGCCTCAGACTCTGTGAGTCTCCAGCTGGTCATGTGAGTCTTTCAACTCCAACACCACCGGACATTTGGTGACATGAGCTCTGGTCTGAGCCTCAGCTCTGGGAAGCTGGCCAAGGTGCACCACCTCTCCATGCCTCAGTTCCTCCACCTATAGTCCAGGGCAACAAGCATAATGATAGCCACCCTAGCGCTTTAGCACACACCATCTCTGTGCACCCTCACTGCCACCCTGCAAGGCAGAGGCTGTTATTACCTCCATAGATGAGAAAACGGAGGCAGCCTCCCAGACGGCCCCCACTGATGGCCCCCATCTCAGGACCTCTCTGAGCTCGCCGGCCAACAGTGAGCTCAGAAGCACAGCCTCCCTCAGTCAAGCCTTCAGATGAATGCAGCCCCAGCCGACCTTGAGCCCAGGAACTCAGCTTGTTTGCATCCAGATCTCGGAGCCACACAAGTAAATACCCATTGTTTCAAACTGCTAAAGTTTGGGGTAATTTGTTATGCATCCATAGCTGACTAATACGCAGGTCTAGAGGGACTGAGTGAGCCACCCAAAGTCACCCAGCTATAAATCCAGACAGCTCCTACCCAACACAGCTCTCTCCTCCTCTCCGCATCAGCTCGAGGGCCTGTTCTGGGTACATCAGGGCTGTGAGAAGTTACAAGGGCAAAATGCTCCCCCAAGGACAAAGTCACCTGCCACGGGGCCGTTCCAGGAAAAGGGCCCACCTGTTGTCGAAGAAGGCACGGACGATTTTGGATCGGATGGGGTTGAGCTCCAGATCAGGGACGTTGTTGAAGTTCTCCTTGCTGGGTTCCAGGAAGGACAAGCACCGGGAAAGGAGGGAGAAAAGAGAGCAGATGTCATATAAAATATCACAGCTTGTCAGGCTGTATTTTTCATCCCGATCAGGGTCCCCAAGGACAGGTCAGAGACAGGACTACAATGTGCTGTGCTGATCTGTCTCTTCCTCTGACGTTTGGACTGGCAGGAATAGGGAGGATCTGGAGACTCAGAGATGCTTTGGGGAATCTAATAAATGTCCCAGAATTCCCCTCCAGAAAAATAAAGGAACACAAGGATTGCACCCCATTCTGAGAGGCCAGAGACTACTTGTGGCCCATCGTATCCCCAGGTAGCCCTGCTTTGGCCACTGTGGAGTCAGAGCAGCAGGATGCTGGCCTGGAGATGTGGAAAACCATCTGGCAGGTCCTCAAGGGATGAGACATCGAGTTACCACCTGACCCAGCAATTCTGCTCCTAGGTGTGTACCCAGGAGGAATTAAAACATATGTTGACATAACATGTGTATGAATGTTCACAGCAGCATTATTCATAATCGCCATGGAATGGAAACACCCCAAATCCCTGCCAACTGATCACTGAATAAATGAAATGTGGTCTATGCACACAGTGGAATATTATTCAGCCATGAAAAAGGAATGACCTGCAGATATATTCTGCAACACAGATGAACTTTGAACACACGATGCTGAGTGAAAGAAACAAGACACAAAAGGTCATCACATAGAGTACGATTCCGATTACATGAAATGTCCGGGATAAGCAAATCCACAGACACAGAAAGCAGACTCGTTGTTGCCAGGGGCTGGGGGCTGGGAGCGATGGGGCACGATGGCTGAGGATACTGGCTTCTTCCTGGGGTGATGAAATGTCTAAAAATGGACTGTGGTGCTTGCTGCGCACACAGGTCTGGGAACAGACTAAAGCCAGTGACTTGTACATTTTAATGGGTGAATTGAAGGGTATGTGATTGTATTTCAGTAAAGCTGTTTAAAAAAAAAAAAAGATGCTGACTTGGAACAGGAGACGGTGAATCCATCGAACACATCGGCCCTGTCGCTGGGCATAGGCGTTGCTGGGGCCTTGAGGCTGCGGACTTGCGGGCACCGAGGCAGTGAGTCCCTCACCTCCCTGACCTTCCCACACAGGCCGCCCTTTGTTCTCGGAATCTGTTTCCTGCTCACCTTTTTTTGCCCTGCTCTGCGGACTGCAATGGGTCGTGGTGTTGGAAGAGGCCCAGGGCACAGGCCGGGAATCCCGGGGAACAGGGAGGCACGCCCGGGGGAGGGGGGGGGAGGATATCAGCCACTTCAAACCAGACTGGCCAGGGAGGCGCACTCATCAGACCCGGGGCTCGAAACCAGAAGCAAGCGGGGCCGGGAAGGGGGCAGTGCCCCGTACGCCGGGCATTAAGCACTGTTTCAGCCGAAAGGCCCCCTAAGCACACGGCTGGCTCCTCTTTGCAGAGAGAACCTGCCCCAAGGCCCAGACAACTTGTGTTCTCTGCCCCCTGTGCCCCTTCCTGTCCCCTACCCGGTGCTCCCAGCCTTGCCCCCATGCAGTGTCTGGCCAAACTCAAGAGCCGGTGTCAGTGGACACCAATGCTTTAGATTCGCGAGCGCCCACACCCACACCCGTGGGCCTGGAGCCACGGAGTATCACGCAGCCACCAAAAGGGATGCGGTGCAGGTGCACCTCGGAAGCACGGTGCCGAGTGGAGGAAGCCCGGCCCAGAAGGTCACATGTCATATGACTCGGTTCATATGCCACGTCCACGCTAGAGAAATCCACAGAGATGGAAAGCAGACGGGTGGCGGCCAGGCCGGGTGACTGGGGGTGACGGCTAATCAATCTAGCCCATCTTTTGGGGGAGATGCAAATATTTTAAGATTAACTGTGCACTTTAAATGGGCGAACGGTCTAACATGTGAACAGTATCTCAATAAAGCTGCTAAACTATCTCCGTAAAATCTCTTAAGGAGCAATAAAGCAAACCAACGGCCCCTGCGCGGCTCCGTTTACACAGAACGAAAGGCGCGGACGCTTCACCTCTGCAGCTCGAAGTCAGGGTGGCAGCCGGGGGGTCTGAGGCGTCCTCGGGGGCTGACAGTGTTCTGCTCTCGAGGCGGGCGCCCCCGCATCGGGGGCACAGTGCGTTCAGCCTCTGAGAGTTCATCTGACTGCCGCCTGTCACTTTTCCCGGTGGCACGGCACCAGCCGGCCTCTCCTTTTCAACAGGCTGGGCAGCAAAAACTAACGACAGTTCCACGCCCCATAAACGCCGGTTTCGGTCTGTTTTCCTCCCTCCCCACTCGCCCCCGGGTGCCCACTGGGCTGGTTGGACCGGCTGGGCTGAAGGTGTCTGAGCCGCGGGAACAGGCTCGGCCTCACCTGGGGCCAGGGCTGAGGCCGGGTGTCCTGAGGAGCTGCCTCAGTGACCCCGGGGCGGGGGGGGCAGTGCTGGCCCAGGAGGGCTGCAGGGGACACAGCCTCCTGGCCCCTCCAGGAGCTGGAGCCTGGGTTTTACAGTCCCCCCGGGGTCCCGACGGCTTTCCTGTATCCGGCTGTGCTAAGTGCCTCCCCGTTTTACAGGCAAGAAAATGAGGCCCAGAGAGGTGCAGTGACGGGGGCCGTGACCACACAGCTGGCAGAAAAGCTTCGAAGCCAGCTCGGACGGCCGCTTCCTCACTCACTAACTCGAACAGCAGACATCCTCACGGGGCGCCTGCCCCACCCAGCCCCCAGAGGCCCCATCGGGGACCCAGAAAGAGGGCGAGACAAGCGTCTGGCCCACAGAGGGACAAGATGAAAAAAACCACCGGCGACGGGCCTGGATCTTCCTCCAGCCCCGTGGTGGGGGCTGGTTTCCGGCGGCTCTGAGGCTCAGCTCAACCGCCAAGTCCTCTCTGAGGGTTTTAGGTCTGGGCTGCCCCCAGCCACCACCAGGGCGTCCTGACCCGAGCTGAGGATGCAGGGGACCCCAGATCCCCAGCCTGGACTCCAGCCCAGGACCGAGACAGGGGTCTTTCCTCCCCATGGCTCTCCGGACCCCCTCCCCGCACTCGCTGGTTAGCTTCTGACGGTTCCCACGCTGGGCCACCGGATATTAAACAGTGGGGACCTGGGGCCCCCTGGGGGCCGTGGAGGAGGGACCGGATCTCATTAGCACCATCCTCCCAGGCAGCGGCCAGCTCCTCAAAGTGCCGAGACCACGGTGGCCTGAATGGCACTTGGGAGGACAATGAGAGGCTTGCTTGGGGACACATTAAGTGCAAGGTGGGGACATCAAGTGGATGGGCTCTTGCTACGTGGGAATGGCATTCAAAGATGTCCAAGCGCAGGTAGGAACTCGGGCACTAACATCCAGGCGGTGTTTCCAGCCACGAATGAGCTTATTTCAAGTCCTTGCTACGCCCAAGACACCCCTCCGTGACCTGCCCCGACTCTCCAGCTGTCCTCTCGCGCTTTTCGCGGACTCGGTCCCATCTCCCTGCTTTGACCGTGAGGTCCCCTCTGCCCGCAGCTCCACCCCCTCCACACCCCAGCTCCTCAGGGGCTCCTTCTAGGCATGGGGGGCTCCACCCACACCCCCCATGCCTAGAACAGGGGCTGAGGGAGCCTCACCCCCACTCACCGCAGCATCCTCAGAGCTGGAACCCGCCACACTAATAAATCTAAGGCCCTTTAGAAAGCATCCTCCCGCTTCGGGGACACCTGGGCACCCCACACCAAACTGAAGGGTGGCACCTTCTCACTCCTGCCCTCCCGCCTCCCCCAGCAGCTGTAGGAGCCCTGACGGGCGGCTGCTTCCCCCCAGGCAGCTTTACAAGTGACTGCGGGGTTTTCCTTTTTACATAAACATGCATTGTCCTGGCTGTGGCTTTCACCGGAGGAAGGTTAACTCCTGGGATCCATTAAATCCTGACAGTGAAACAGCCCCAGGATCCAGGCAGGGCCACAACCCTTTCACTGTGTAATTCTAAGAGGATGGCAAATGTTTAGCTATCTGACAGGTTAAGAGCAAAGTGACTCAGTTAAAAAGTGACTCACAGCAAACTGGAGCTGCGGCTCCGCTGTCAGCCAGCCAGCTCCGCTGTGAGACCTTAACCTCTGTGCCCTCAGTTTCTTAATCTGCATAATGGGGTGATGATCTGGACTTCAGAGGGTTCCTGAGACTCCTGAGGCCACCCCCATGAGCACTCAGCCCTGTGCCTGGCATACGTTTGCACTTAGCTCATGGCAGCTGGGGTTCCTGTTTATGGGGTTTGCCCTGAGCGAAAGCAATGGTAAGCGGGGCCGGGGAGCCCAAAACAGGCCTTGGGGGGATGGCTTTGGCTGGCACCCTGGTGTGGGCCTCTCAGACGCCACTTTGCGCGTGGCAGGGGGTGGGGGGGGTGGTCAACAGTGACCACCACTCCCCTTCCTTCCCCATGTGTGTCTGGTTGCCTTTATCCCAGGAATCACTCCACTTTGGTGGCCTAATGAAACTAAAAATATTTCTGTAATTCAGCTCTATCTAATCGGGCCCCCTCCTGGCCTCCGTCGCCACGGCTGAAGTATCCCACTGCGTCTATTTCTGGATGTTGGGGAGCCTGCCAGGGCGCTATCAGGAAGTTAAAAAGTGGCTGTTTAAGGCAGGCACCAGTTAAAGGGCCCAACGACAGAAAGAAAACATGAGAAAGGCCATCACTGCATTGTCTTCACGGCCCACAGCTAGTCTTTCGGTGGGTTTACTTATGGAGGGCCTTCCCTGCCAGGAGAAAAGCTTGTGAAGACAGGAGAGGAGACTCTGCATAGTAAGTGCTCAATAAACGCGTCAGATGACCCTTTTCTACTCAAGCACCCGCCAGGAGGTCTCAGAACTCAGTGTTTTGTGGCCAGGATACATTCAGATTTGGGGAGGCCTGAAACATATAATTTTGGGGGCCCTCAAAGAAAAAGAATGAAACATGAATTTTTTAAAAATTAGGTGCTAAGCTTTGCAAGGAGCTCAGAATGAGCTTTAAAGGCCCTGGCTTTAAAGGCCTCAGGGTAACACCTCCCACCCCGGATGTCCTTACATGATTTCTAGAAAGTTACCCCACCGAACACAGACAGGAAACAGTGGGTTAAAATTAAAGTCAATTTTGGCAGTTTTAGCACATTTGATTTTTTTTAACCTATATTTAATTCACTAAAGTCACAAATTCCAAAGCCCAATTCTCCGTTAAGCTTTAAAATGCAACTTGCAAATCTTACCTGTCTATGTACAAAGCCTGCAGGTTTGAATGGTCACTTTTAAGGGACCTCTTGCACTCGAGGTTTTCAAATATCCTGTGTGAAAGGGGGCAAGGGAACTGCTTCCCACGCCCCTCACAGACTGGGGTGCTGGAGGCCACGCTCAGGGATCCCCAGTCAACGCCTTTGGCACGGGGCAACTGTCCCCACGACCTGGCCAGCTTTCACCAACAGGTTTTCCAAACACTGAAGAAACAAATCCTTTCCCGGCTCTGAAACCCCAGCACAACCCAGGGCCCTCTGCACGGCCCCCTGGACATGCCAGGGATCAGAGAGGTTGAAGGCCCGGCCTGAGGTCACTCAGGAGACCCTTGGCAGAGTGGGAACAGTGCTGAGATCAGCTCGCAGCCCACAGCTAGCTCCTCACCCCTCCTGCCCTGGGAAGACAAGGAAGCCCAGGGAACCGAAAAGCTGCCCTGTCCCCCTTCTCTTCCCTGGGCCCCGGAGGGTGGGGGGCTGGGATTGGGCAAAGCCATTCTCAGCGTCTGCGAGGAGGCCCTTCCTGCGGCCTGTTTGCGTCAGACGCTGTGGTCAGTCCACCTCCTTCCTGCAGGCTGGCGGGGCCGTGAGCGTGCAACTGACGGTGAGACGTGGAGCAGGGGGGCTGTGGTGGGAACCGCGCCCTCCACCCCAGGACATTATGGCCCCAGGGGGCAGAGCAGGGAGACCGAGGGCCTCAGAAGTCGCTCCCGAGTCACAGCTTCCTTACAGCAAGATCTCGGCACTGGGTTCAAATCCCGACTCCTCTTACCGAATGGTGGGCTGGTCCCCGCTCAGCTGCTTAAACCTCCGGTGGAGCTGCTCGATCTGGTCTGATGAGACTGGGGAGGGAGAGAAGGGAGGAAAATGAGAGGGACGGACGCCACCGGCCGCCGGACTAGGAGGGACCGGGGCAGGCCGAGGCCCCCTCCTTCCAGGCGCTTCCCGCTCGCCCGTCCTGGCCGCGGGGCGGTGGGGTCCTTAGTCCTGACGCCTGAGCAACAGTCCAGCGGTTGCCGACCAGCTGCTCCCGGGGCGGGGCAGTGGCGACCCAGGGTTTTTCTCCCCCCCAGAGATCAGGTCCTCTCCCGCTCCTGAAGTCGGCTCTTTCCCAGCCGAGAGAGGGGCTTTGTGCAGTCACGTATGAAGAGAACACAGACAGTAGACTCTTGACGTTGCTCTTAGTAATCTTTTTAAAAATATATCTTTATTGATTTCAGAGAGGGGAAGGGGGAGGGAGAGAGAGAGAGAAACATCAATGATGAGAGTCACTGATCGGCTGCCTCCTGCACGCCCCGGACTGGGGATCGAGCCCTCAACCCGGGCCTGTGCCCTGACTGGGAATCGAACCGCCATCTCCTGGATCCCAGGTCGATGCTCAGTCGCTGAGCCACACCGGCCAGGCTTAGTGATATTTTTTTGCTACATCTCCTTGGGCTCGGCTCTACCCTTGATAAGTGTTGACTTACATAACCCTCTGGTCAATCCTATCAGGTAGGGACAGTACGACCCCATTCTAGAGATGGGAACACTGAGACTTGCCCGAGGTGGCACAGATAGGGAGAGCTGTACACACCAGAAATCTCCACAGACCGGGTTTCTCTCGTGAAGGGTTTCCCGCTAATTGCTTCTCAAATGCACACACACTCACAGGTGACAACCTCCCACCTCTGGTCCCCTCTTTTCAGCACCCAAATTCCCGGAACCAAGAGCCTGGCCCTTCGCTGAGCTCCACACATGCTCAGCTCTGGCTGCCTGGGCTGACCCTGCACCTCCGCAGGGTCTGGCCCAGGGGAACCCGAGACGCATGAGCCCGAGTCACACCCCCAGGACGTGAAAGGCCCTGTCTGTTGTTGCCCTCGAGGGTCCCTGGGAAGGAAACTTTTCCAGCTTCCCTGCTTCTCCCTCAGCCCTTTCTCCAGGCCCTCATGAGGTCACAGTTGCCATGGGGACAAGCGACAGCGACACTGCTGCTTTGGTGCCTGGCATCTCAACTGCCTTATTTTGTTTCTAGATTTCAACCTGGGGGAAATGCACACCCTTCCAGGAGGCTGGGGGACGTGTAATCGGCTCAATCTTTGATGTGCGTGTGTATGTGGGGGGGTGACATCACTTTGTATCTAAAGCGTAAACAGAGAAGTTATATACCTGCACCCCCAACAGGGAGCCGCTAGCCACACATGGCCACCAAGCCTCTGAAAGGTGGCGAGCCCAAGCTGAGATGTGCCGGAGTGTAAAATACACACAGGCTAAGTCAGGGAACAAGGTCCCATGTGCCTGGTGACAGAATGGAGGGTGGATGCAAACGATGGGGCTGGAACCCAGGGCCACTAGGGCAGGTGCAGCAGGCCAGGTGCCGGGGTGGGAGCGGGGGAAAGGGCTGGAGGTGGGAGTG